CTCAGTCGTGCTTTCTAGGAAATCCCTCTGCTGGTCTCATTCACGTCTGCTCAATCTCATTCGCTTTTCCTTTAAATCCTCCAATCCCTACCCATCCATTATCTCTTCCATAACTGGACCTCAACTTATCTTTTCAACCGTTTCTTTCACAATCTGTCCTAAGGGAATCCCTATTCCAAACTGGACTCTCACTTCCCCAAATAGGCTATGCTCTTCCCAGCCCCTACAGCTCGGCACTCATCCTCCTCTCTTTCTACAGTGCTCTTCTATCCTTTTCAGGAGACCTAATCCACGAACATCCTTTGAAAGTTGTTGGACAGAACTATGGATATCCACTCTCATTCTTCAGCTTCCTCCAACCCCCATCTTTCCTGTTTTCCTATCATTCTCCTCTGCATACTCCAAAGATTTCCTTTTGTTCCAAACCATGGACAACCCTCTTCCTCTTCCTCCTTGATGGTTTGTACACTGCTTTAATTGCAAACTTTCCATTATTCTGTCTTTATCCTGGCCTTTATCTGGTTTGGTTAATGCTGCCTTTGAGAAGGAATTATTCTTTATTTCTTTAGCCCTGTTTCTCCATGAGCATCTTTCAGGCCTCTAATAAGTGGACAAATCTTGCGCATGAAATATCTAGGCTACATTTGTAATTCTATACCCTGACTTCCTGGGCCAATAATAGAATGGATCTCCAGAAAGGACAGGCATTCAGTTGCTAAATGGAAGAAATGCTTCCTTCTCTATTCAAGAGCAGCCCTTCTGACTAATTCAAGAAATATGTCAAAACAGTTCTTAAGAAGAACCCATATGTCACCCAAAGAATTAAATATTTTGAAAATGACAAGAACCACTTGGTCCATTTTTCAATAGAGAACAAGGGAAAAGAGACAGGAAAGAAATAAATCAGAACTCAAGGTGAAATAAATATAGAAATCTCTAGTTATAATGTAAAGGGAAATATTTAAGCCTAGGACTCTGGTGAAGCCAAAAGCCATCATATATATACATCAGGTTTTTACCATATTTCTAACATTTGCCACCAGCTTTTCATCAAAGCCAAGCCCCCCAAAGGGAAAATGAGACATAAAAGGGTCATAGAATGATAAGAATGATGGAGAGTAGATAGGAGGCTTTGGCATGATACAAATAATTCTATAATATGCTGTGCTTCAAAAACAGTGGGCAAAAAAACAGAAACAAAGAAGCAGCGTGCCCTTGAAGATGTCAATGCTTTGTGGGAATGGATTTCCTAAACTACAAAGCACTATTCTAATGTTAGGCTATTTATTATTACCCAGTAGAAGCATAATTACCTCTCACCCACTGCTGGGTGGCAAATTGTATTAACCCTGACCCACCACCTCTCTCAAACCTACAATGACAAAAGTAGTTAAGGAAAAACAGAACACTGGGAAGGGAGGACACATTGGGAAGGGAGGACTTATTTCTTTTTCTTTTTTTTTTTGAGGCAGAGTCTCACTCTGTTGTCCTGGCTAGTGTGCAGTGGCATCATCATAGCTCACTGCAACCTCAGACTCCTGGGCTCAAGCGATCCTCCTACCTCAGCCTTCCGAGTAGCTGGGACTATAGGTGCGTGCCACCACGCCCAGCTAATTTTTCTAATTTGTAGAGACGCTCTTGCTCAGCCTGGTCTCAAACTCCTGAGCTCAAGCAATCCTCCCTCCTCGGCCTCCCAGAATGCTAGGATTACAGCCGTGAGCCACCGTGCCTGCTTTATTTCTTTTCTTAAATCCATGTTACCCCCGTGGAAACTGAGCTCCTATAGGTCCAAGGAGTAGGAATGAGAGGCATCCAGAAGCAGAATGCCGTCTCAGCTTGGCTGTCTGCCTTCAAGGATCAAATAAAGATATGTGTTTATAGGAGTGGAGCAGCTGCTCAGCTAGTTTGGATGCCCACTTCTGAGTCCTCAGGACATTCTATTTTTCTTAGTTCACTAACCCTATAGTCTCTAGAAAGTATCAGACTAAAGAGTGAAGATATATAGATGGTTTGGGTCCTAGGTCTCCTGAAGACAATAGTATTACTTCCTCCTGAGAACCCACCAGAGGAGTTGGAAAATGCACCTCACAATGTTTCAGTCTTTAGGTTATACTCACAAATGGTCAGAAGTTCATCATTATTGGCTCATTGCTGATGCTGTGCCTCAGACGAATGCGCCATATGTGGCTCTCACACACATAGGGCCATAAATAAAGCTTCTCACTTTGTAGGTACTCCATATTAATTTCCCTTCGCTCGTCTTTTTACCTTAAAGCCCTACCTTCTAGCTTGCCATCTTATAGAAGACAAGTAAACAAATAATTCTGCTATAGTGCAACTTGTGGTATTATAGACTGTATGATATATGATATGACATAGCAGTAACAAGAGTAGGTGGCATGTTAGCTAAGTGTTCGGCTGTAGTTGGCCTGGTGAACACTGGACCACATAGAGAAATAAGAGGAATTCATAGCCCATTGGAATTGCATTTCGATAAACGAAATAAAGATTTCTCCTGAAATCTAAGCCAGTTGATAGAAGAAAGAGTAATGTCAATTTAAATAGTAACTACTTACTACTTGCTTTGTTTTTGCTTAAAAAAAAAAAAAGGTATAGGAAGAAAATTCAGAGCAAAGCAGAGAAATTAATTTTAACTAATAATCAAATGCAAAAGAAATTCTAAATATCTGTCAAAAACAAGGCTAAGTGAACTATTTTTGAAGCAACAAAAAAAAAGACCCCTGGGCAAGAAATTTTACAGTCATCCTCTTTCTAGGTCGGAACTTTCTTAGAATAAGACAAAGAAAAATCCGGACCTGGAATAAGAGGAAGACATTAGGAATCCTTCACCATACTGACAAGAGATTTGTTTAACAAATAGATGAAAGGCCAGAGTAATCAGATACCACAGGAAAAGGTAATGGACTAAGGGGAATAAATGAAAAATTATGGCTCCACAGTAAAGGGACATATATTTTTAGAATATCTATGAGGTTAAGTGAGGTGGGAAAAAAAAAAAGAAATTCTTAGAATATGATAAAGAAGAGAACCATTTTTCATGTTTCTCTACCAGAAAACATTTAATATGCTTTGTAAAAATTAAATTTGATATTTTAATGTACCTAAACAAGCACTAAATGAATTCTGGACTGAAATGAATTAAAAAATTCCTAATACCCATTCTATACAACACAGAATGGGAGTGGGGAATGAAGAATGCTTCTACATAAAATAAATTTGGCTTTCCTTTATTAGGCATAAATGAAGAGCATCTTAAAAGTATATAAATAGAATCCAAGAATGCTACTTGTGTATTTTTTTTCTTTTAAGGAACAGAAAATCATAAAGAAAGGATCACAGGAAGTATACTAATGTCATTAAATATAATTGGACTTGCAGGAACAATTATTGTGCTGTACTGTAAGGGGAGCTGTTGGCACATAAGAGCAAAGCACACGTATGAGCTCATCCCCGGCCTTGGCAAGACCCACTTCCAGCTAGAAGCAGTCATGTTTCAACACCTCTGATTCCCTAATGCTGACAAGCTAAACAACTTGTTTTGTCTCTGGGAGCTCTTCTCTAGTGATTAACTGCTTATGGTGAATACTAATTATATGAAAGTACAGTATTGAAGAAGAAGTGTCCTATTTCCTCTACCTGCAGCCACAACTTGTTTTTGAATCTAGAAGGTACTAGGTAGAGCCACAGCAAACCAGAACCAAGAAAAACATTTTCCTCCCCCTGGGTAATAAATATATCTCCTACTTTTTAGTATAGTACAGTTCACTGACAAGAAACCTCCTTTAACCTCTGGGCTCCAAACCAAACATAATTACAATACAATGAGTGTTTTAAGGCTTGTAATAATTATATGGATAAATCTACAGCACGAGTTTGTGCATTAGTGAACTATCAGTGTCCTCAATTCCCCGTGTCCCATGTTGAAAATTTACCCCAAATTGTCAGTTCTTAGGAACTGTACCTCAGATTAAAATCTTCTCACCAGGGAGTCTATGAGAATTTGTTCTTGTGTTTTAAATCCTAAGTGCTTGTTAAACCGCCAACACTGCAAAATTAGAGACCATTAAACAATATAAGGCAGCAAGTGATTAAATCTACCAAATACACATTCAAAGCAGCTTAAGCTACTTTTTAATTAAAAATAAAATATCATTGGCTAAATTCAGATGTCTTAGCTATCCAGAAAAAGTTAGAGGACTGTTCAAAATGCAAAATGCTGCTGATAAGGCCAGACAGAAAAGGAGAAATAGGGCAGGGGGTGGGCTGGACAGGGGGCTCATCTTGGTGCCAAGCCAGGGTGGCAGGGTGCCCGAGTGCTCACCAGGCTTAGGCAGTGGACATTAGCAGGGAGTCTCGGCTGCACCGCAGGGGGAGGATGCCATGTGGCTGCTGATTAAATAAGCTTTATTAGCAAAGGCCTCCAAGGAGACAGGGTGTTCCACCTTCTTGGCAGGAGAATGAGTTGAGTAACAGCATCTCAGGAAGTGAAGGCATTGGAGATGTATAGATGGCTGAAGGAAATGTTAGTGCTATTTTTAAATACGGCTTAACCTAATTGATATACATTTCTTGAAGTAATCATTAGCTTTTGGGGAAGAAGGCACAGGGGCTTTTGAATTAATGGGATCACTTGAAATTCAAAGAAATTTTTACTATATAGTTAGAAGTAAATAAACATTGTAGCTTTAAGTCATTCCTCCTTGTTTAAAGAAAAGAAAAAGGGCCAGGGGGCTTAGTCAACTTCAGGCAGAAGGCCAAGAATCTGAAGATCAGACTTAAGGCTGGGATGATATCATTCACTCTGAAGTCTTGATACTCTTTCTGAAGCATGAGAAAATTTACTGGTAAAACCTTACCTCACCCACAGTTTTCTTATTTTTAACTCTATTTTTTTCTACTCGAGAATAATTTTCCAAATATGTTTTCTGCCTTATATGTAAATGTTATAAATTTACTTTTAGCTTCAGACACGGTCTTACCTAAAAAGCTTGCCCTAAAGTAAAGTACAGGCACTTGGTAGCTGCAGGAATATAAGACATGATACTCATATTTAATCACTTCGGACGCCGCTGCAGTCTCAGTCACTTCGAAATCATCTGAGGGTAGCTCTAAAGCCTCCTGAAAAAAAGCAAAAACAAAATCCAAAATGTGTTTGTCAATAAGAAAAGTACTAACATGGAGAGGAAAAGATGAGATTGTCTTCTTGCAAAATAACAGTTAAATAAACATAGGGCTATGAGGTAAGGAAAAGGGAGTTTCCCATATTAATGTTTAACATTTGAGTCCTGGGTAAATAGTATAACCAGAAAACATTAGCATTAAGTAATTCCAGATTGTTTTTGAGAGACAAAGCAGCTCTGAGTAAAGAAACAGGAAGAAGAAAAAAAAGCAAAAAGATCTATTGCAACAGCAACTCTGAAAAATCTTTACTGTACAATTTTAGCAACAAGATGATAGCTATACGAGCTACTTTCTTTCCTACCTGTGAAAGCTAAAAACATCCTAACAATTGAACAAGAGGCTGTGAAATGTCCCTAAAGATTCTATTGTACTTGCCAAAAGATGATTCATTGTGTGGTGAACAATTCCCAGTTCCACTTTGAATAAGAAAGTTATTTTGCAAGAGGTTGAGTTTGTTAGGTGTATTTCAAAACCTGAGATGATTCTGTTTTCTTCATTATTGTGCTATCTTTGGTATATTTCTACAATAAATCTTGATTTATAATAGATTAGATGCCGAATATTAATGTCACCTTAAACAGGGTTTTGTTATCAGAGATGATAGTCATCTCACTTCTCACCTCATCGTTCTTTACTGGTTGATTTTTTTTATCATGTGTAGGTTTTTTTAAAGAATGTATCTTAATGTTTAGGAGAAAGTAATTGAACATGTTCAGTCAGAGTCTGGATCCATCCACATTCACTTATTTATTTGGTTCCTTTGAAATGAAATTAGTACCAGCAGGAACGAAGCAGGTTGGTTTGGCTCATTCTAATTCTCATTAAAACAGTAACAACAACAATGAACAATCAGAAAGAACTACAGGAAAGACTTCAAACTTTATCAATATGAAATAAGGTTTCCTGTGGAGATAAGCCAAGCCACAGACTACTTTCCAGATCTGTATCTCCTTTCCAGATAATTTCTGTAATTCCCCACTCTCAGTCAGTTCACTGGGGAGATACCACAATAGATAAATCACAACTAGAGATATTTATGAAGTACTTTTCACTAAACTCCAGTAAACACTATCAATTAAATGCAACAAAGTAACCAGGTAGAAATCACTGAAATAAATATCCCAAATAGAGGAAATTAATAATAGTAGCAAGAAAATGTTTTTTCTTTTTTCAATTTTTCGTTAGGCATAGGTAGCTATATCTTCTTTTCCACCAATTCTTTTAACAAAAATTTTTTTTTTGTCAACAATTGGGTTGTTTAGTATTTATAACCTCTTTGCTTTCTTAACATTATAAAGGAATTGTATCTTGATGATAAAACAGAATTACAAACACTCCACAAGTACATAAAAGAAAAAGTGAAATTCCCCTCAACCCAGCACTCCTATACCTCAGATTTGTAACCATTTTTAGCAGACTAATAATGTATTTTTCCAGACTTTTAAATTTTTTTGGCACACAGACACATACACACCTCCTCTCCACCCCACTGTCTCTGATTAAATTCTGCTATCTATACATATGCTCCTAGAGTGGGTATTTTCACTCATGGGCCTCCTGCCACATGCTGCCATGTCACTGCAGCAAACTCAGCATCTTTTAATGCCTTCACTATATTCCATTGTATGACTACATCATAGTTGCTCTTCATTTCTTTTAACATTTCCATATTGCCAGATATTTTAGGTTGATTATAAGTTTCTGCTACTACAACTAATACTGCAATGAATATCCTAGCACATATATCCCTGTACACATCTATTTTTCTATGGTGCAGACTTCTAAAGGTAGAATCACTGTACCAAGGGTATGTGCATTTTAAATTTCAAGAGACACTGCCAATCTGTCCTCAGAAAAAGGCTGTATCAATTTATATTCCCAGAGAAAAAAGTCTGATATATCCAATATCCAATATATACTGAATATAATTTCTTTTCCATTTTTGCCTATTTGATGTATTTTTAAATGCCAGTTTCTTGTTGTTTTAATTTCTAGTTTCTTGATTACTAGCAAAGGTGAGCAGCTATTCATACATTCATTGATAATTTGTGTCTTCCCATGATTTGCTTGTTCTTATTCTTTATTTTCTGATATTTAAGTTGTTTGTACTTTTCTTATTGAATTATATAAACTCTTTGTATATAAGAAATAATAACTTACTATTGGAGATAAATATATGTCTGCACCATAGAAAAATGGAGGTATACAAGGATATGTGTGACATATATACATATAAACAAAAAGACTTTTTTTTTGAGAGACAGAGTCTTGCTCTGTTACTCAGGCTGGAGTGTAGTGGCCCAATCATAGCTCACTCTAATCTTGAATTCCTGGGCTCAAGCGATCCTCCTGCCTCAACCTCCCAAGTAGCTGGGACTACATGTGTGTGCTACCACATCCGGCTAATTTTTTTTATTTTTTGCAGAGATGAGGTCTTGCTATGTTGCCCAAGCTGGTCTCAAACTCCTGGCTTCAAGAAATCCTCCTGCCTAGGCCTCCCAAAGTGCTGGGATTATAGGCATGAGCCACTGCACCTGGCTAAAAAACTTTTTCATTCGGTTTTCTTTCAACTCCGTTGATTGTACTTTTTATCGTAATGTTTCTTTTATTTTTATGTAGTCAAATCTGTGCATTTCTGTTTACAGCTTCTGAGTTACATGTTTTCATTAGAAGACCTCCTGCTATGCCCCATTTCACTTTTAAAAATTATAAAAATGTTAAATTCCTTTATTATGTACACACATATATTTTAGAATTGACATTAGATCATTAATCCACCTGAATTTTGTTTTTGTGTATACTGTGTAGTAGGACTTTTTCCCAGACAATTGCAACAGTCCATCTTTCTCCCATTGATTTTAAATGTCACCATTACTAGAAATTAAGAGTGTGTGTGTGTGTGTGTGTGTGTGTGTGTTTATTCTCTACTCTTCTCTATTGAGCTATTTCTCCTCTTAGACCATCACCGTGCAATTCTTTAGTGTATACTGAATCTAAGAAATTGGGTCATTAATTTCTGCAGAAAACTGCAGAAATAGACTGCCTGAGACCCAGTGCTGCTAGGGAGGATAAAATTTTTGGAAAGAATGTTCTTCACCCAAACTTAAATTAAGCACTCAGGAATGTGCTGGGGTTGACACAAGGTACTTGCCACTGGTGATCAATTAGGCATAGATACACATTCTCTGGAACAGGTAGGAGGCTGAAGAAATGAGGGGGAGAGGACAGAACAAGTTTCTTGAAGAGCCTGTTAGAAGTCTCCTCCCAGTCACTATTCTCACTGGCAGCTGAGTGCATTTGTGGCATTTGAAGGCCAGGGGTGCTTGTCCTTTAATTAGGACTGCTACAATGCTCTGGGCAGCCATCTACGTGCAAGCACATTTTTGCATCCATTACTCATATTAGATGAACCTGAATCCTTGATTTGTGTGTGCTAGAATCTTTCCATCATTCATGGTCACCTTTGTGAAACTCATGCAAATATCATCCCTTGAAGTCATGCAATTTGGAAATCGCAGACTTCTAAATATTTTCTGCTTCCCTTTACAGTTAAAAGTGCCAGATGGTTTTAGAACTTCAAGACTAAGGTTCTTTTCTTACTCATTTTTGTATTCCCAGAAACTCTAGTACAGAGCTGAGAACCCTAGTAAGCAACATTTTCTATTTCAGTCTTCTGTTTCTTCTCAACTAGGTATATTATCAAATATAACAAACTTCATAGGTAATTCATCAGCAACCCCGTTCACACCCTAAAGTTTGAAAAAAAGTAAATGGAGAAGTAACAGTGCGAAATATCACCAAAAAGGATATACGAATGGCAAATAAGCACATGAAAAAGATATTCAACATCATTAATCATCAAGGAAATACAAATTACATGAATGTTCATAGCAGTTTTATTTAGAATAGCTAAAAACTTGAAGCAGTTCTGGTGTCCTTCAACAGGTCAATGGTTAACCAAACTGTAGTACATGCATACCATACAATTTAACAGTTAAAAGGAGCAAACTACTGATACATACGATAATCTCCAGGGAATTATGCTAAGCAATAAAAGTCAATCCCAAAAGGTCATATACTGTATGATTCCACTTATATAACATTTTTGAAATGACAATTTTTTTTTAATTTCAGCATATTATGGGGGTACAGATGTTTAGGTTACGTATGTTGCCCTTGCCCCCCCGCCAAGTCCGAGTTTCAAATCCGTCTATTCTTTGGGTGGTGAGCATTGCACTCTTTGTGTATGTATATACCCGTCCCCTCCTCCCTCCTCCCCCCTCCCCGACATCCAATAGATGTTATTCTTATATGTGCACTTATGTGTTGATCAGTTAATACCAATTTGATGGTGAGTCCCTGTGGTGCTTGTCTTTCCATTCTTGGGATACCTCACTTAGTAGAATGCGTTCCAGCTCTATCCAGGAGTATACAAGAGGTGCTATATCACCATTGTTTCTTAAAGCTGACTAGTACTCCATGGTATACATATACCACATTTTATTAATCCACTCATGTATTGATGGACACTTGGGTTATTTCCACATCTTTGCAATTGTGAATTGTGCTGCTATAAATATTCGGTTGCAGGTGGAAATGGCAAAATTTTTGAAATGAAGAAAAAAGAGCAGATTGGTGTTGGATGGTGTGGAGAGCAGAGGGGTCTGGTTATAAAAAGGACAGCATAAGAAATCCTTGTGGTGATGGAACTATTCTGTATCTTAACTACAGTGGTGGATACAAAGACCTACACAGGTGATAAAATTGTATAGAAACACACGCGCGCGCACACATACACACACGAGTACAAGTAAAACTGGGAAAATCTGAATATCAGTGGATTATATCAATGTCAATATCCTGGTTGTGATATTACACTGAAGTTTTACAAAAACAATGGAAGAAACTGGGTAAAAGGTATATGGGATCTTTCTAAC